GTCTCTCAGGGGGAGCGTTAGTTTGAGCCGCCAAAAAATCTGCTCACCCAAGGGGAGAAGTCAGGCTGGTACGAATGGCAGCCAGGATCTGGTTGGAGGAATGACCGACGGTCGGCTCAGTGTCCTCCCTGGACAGCTCAGAGTATTGCCGTGACAAGGCATCAGCCCTGACATTCTTGGAACCAGGCAAGTAAGAGACCACATAATTAAAAAAAAAAAAAAACGTGACAAAAACAGAGCCCCACTGGCTGACGGGGTCGGTCAACCTCTTAGCCTCCGAGAGATATGTGAGGTTCTTGTGGTCAGTGAGAACTAGGACCGGGACCACAGAACCCTCAAGCAGGTACCTCCATTCCTTGAGAGCCAGAATAATGGCCAACAACTCCCTGTCTCCCAATCTGGTAGTTGCACTCTGCAGAGGAAAGCTTCTTGGAGTAGAAACCCACAAGGAAAGTAGGGGTCCCTCGGGTGACCGACGCTGGGACAAGAGAGCGCCTACTCCTGTCTCAGATGCATCAACCTCGAGAACAAAAGGCAACCCAGGATTGGGATGAGACAGAATTGGGGCCGAAGTGAAGGCGGCTTTCAGAGCCTTGAAAGCTGAGATGGCCTCGGATGACCACTCGTGAGGGTTACTGCCCTTCTTGGTCAGTCTGAGAGAGGCTTGGACAGTGTGGAAAAGTTCCTGATAAACTTCTGATAATAGTTGGCAAATCCCAAAAAGCGCTGAATGGACCGAAGACCACTGGGACGAGGCCACTGCAGAACCGCTGAAACCTTCTCAGGGTCCATAGATAAACCCACCGGGGAAATGATGTAGCCCAAAAAAGGCAACTGGGATTGGTGAAATTCACACTTCTCGAGCTTACAGAAAAGCTCGTTTTCACGCAACCGTTGCAGCACCTGCTTAACATCCTGGATATGAGTCTCCATAGACGCAGAGTAAACCAGGATGTCGTCCAAGTAAACCACCACGCACTGCTGCAACAAGTCACGTAAGACATCGTTAATAAACTCTTGAAAGACCGCGGGTGCGTTACACAACCCGAAGGGCATAAAAAGGTATTCATAGTGGCCGGTTCTGGTGTTGAACGCGGTCTTCCACTCGTCGCCCTCCTTGATCCGTACGAGGTTGTAGGCAGCCCTAAGGTCGAGTTTAGTAAAGACCGTTGCTCCCTTGAGGCGGTCAAACAACTCGGTGATCAACGGAATAGGATAAGCATTTTTAATCGTGATCCGATTGAGACCCCTAAAATCAATGCAGGGTCTCAGCTCACCTCCCTTCTTTTTCACGAAAAAAAAACCCAGCTCCTGCTGGAGACGTAGACTTGCGAATGTGCCCCCGGGAAAGCGCATCCGCAACGTATTCCTCCATGGCCTGATTCTCTGCCACCAAAAGAGGATACACCCTGCCACGCGGAGGAGTGGCACCAGTTTGTAAGGTTATGGCACAATCGTATGGACGATGAGGAGGCAGAGCACCGGCGCGCACCTTGTCAAACACGTCCAGGTAGTCCCCATATTCAGTGGGCAGCACAGAGTCCGAGGAGGTGCACAGCACCTTAACCGGACCACGGATGCAACCAGCCCCACACCGTGGTGACCATGAGAGAATCTCGGCCGATCGCCAATCAAAGGTCGGATTGTGCCTCTGAAGCCAGGGATAGCCCAAAACCACGGAGTAGTGCGGGGAAGAAATTACCTGGAAACAGGCCAATTCCCTGTGAACAGCCCCAATAGCTACCTCCACCGGCAGGGTCTCGTGGGTAACCTGCGATGGCTGCAAGGGCCTGCCATCTATCGCCTCGAGAACCAATGGAGTCTCTCGAGCCTGCAGAGGAATGGAGTACTGGGCAGCAAACGAACTGTCCATAAACAAACCGCCAGCCCCAGAGTCTACCAACGCCTGGGCCGTCACCGAGCCTCCTGCCCAAGAGAGGACAACGGTGATAAGCGGTTTATCTTTACGGGAAACCGGGGACGAGGAAACTCCACCCAAGATCTGCCCCCGACAGGATCTCAGGTGCGGGCGTTTCCCGGACGGACCGGACAGGACTGCCAAAAATGCCCCCCGAGTCCACAGTACAGGCAGCGACCCTCCCGACGCCGAGAGGCCCGCTCCCTCTCGGAAAGGCGAGCAAACCCCCAGCTGCATGGGCTCACTACCAGACAAACCATCCCCAGGAGGCGTGGGGGGAGAGGGAGGCACGGGTGGAACAGAAAACTTAGGCGCCAAATGGTTAGGAGGCCTCCGCAGACGCTCCTTAAATGAGGGCCTCTCTCTGAGCCTGGTGTCAATCAAGATTAGGAAGGAGATGAGTGCCTCTAACTCCACAGGCAGTTCTTTGGCTGCGATCTCGTCCTTCAACGCATCAGAGAGACCATGAGAGAAAGCAGCCACTAGAGCCTCATTGTTCCAACCCACCTCTGCCGCCAAAGTACGAAAATTCGATGGCGTACTCGGCAACTGTTCGTGAACCCTGATGCATGGACATGAGCAATTTGGCAGCAGAAGCGTAGCGAGCGGGCACGTCGAATACCGTACAGAAGGAGGCAACGAAACGGATAAACACGTGAATCACCGGGTCATTCCTCTCCCATAAGGGATTAGCCCAGGCCAAGGCCCTATCAGAGAGTAGCGAGATTAGGAAGCCCACCTTTGCCCTCTCAGTAGGGAAAGCGTGAGGTATTAATTCAAAGTAAATCCCCACTTGGTTAAGGAAATCACGACACTGACTCGGTTCCCCCCCAAACCGCTGAGGAAGAGGGGCAGAACCAGTCATACCTCTGGGTACCGCGGGTTCCGCAACAGATGCGGAGGTAGGTGCAACAACCGGAGCAACAGTGGGAGAATCCACCGGAGTAACAACTGACCTAATAGCCCCAGGAGTAAGGTGCGCTGTGCGTGCAAGCAGAGCCTGCAACGCCTGAGCGAACTGATCCAACAAGCGATCCTGTTGGTCAAGTCTGGCGAGTAACATAGGGATCGAAGGCATACCTGCACCGTCAGGATTCATGGCACTTGTGTAATGTCAGGGCAGGAACGCTGGAATGGGCAGGCAGGCCTATGGTACGGTCACGCTGAGACTGACGACAGCCACTACCCACAGACCGGAGTCCCTCAGGGCGCGGAGTCTAAGCCCCAGGCTACCCTTCACCAGGGCCCCTGATGGTGGGGATGGACTTGACGCAGCCTGAGACCAGGTCGCGGCCCCCGAGTGACCCAGCTGCGATAACAACTGCCGCCAATGGCGTACAGCTGGTGGGAGCTAGATGGGAACACGAGTAGAGTGGTCAGACAAGCCGGGTCAATAACAATGGAGCAGACAGTACTAGACGGTAGGCAAAGAATACTCAGGTCACGGGCCGGGTTCAGCAACGGGAGGTCAGGTAAAGGGTTAACACAGAGAGTAGTCTTGTCAAAGCCGAGTCGGTTACCAGGAGAGCAATGGGAACAACACAAGAGCTTGCAACAGGGCAACATACAGGACACAAGTGCAGAGCACACTTGCAGACAGCAGGTTTAAATGTGCTCAACCACACCCTTCTGAGGAGGAGCCGCAGAAACCTGAAGACATAAAGGTTCCCACCATGCTTTGCAGAAAATCAAGATGGATGCCAGCTCATGGAGATGCACAAGCTCTGAAGAAAGGTAGGACCTTGACACTTCTGCATAGAAACCTATCAGCTTCCAGGTTTCATTGCCAAAGCTTCATTGAACAAGCTGAGGTTAGAAGCTGATTGGTTTCTATGCAGAAGGGAGTCTGATTTTGGACTCTCCAGCTTTAGTAAATAAACCCCAGAGTCTCAGGAGACTTGCAAGGTCAGGGCAAATACTGGGGACAAGCATAATCAAGCGGCCCCCTGTAGTGTAGTGCTATATCTATTATATGAAGAATTCCTGGGCACAGTGGATGAATGTATTCCTCAGAGGTACAACTGATATTTGTGGTGGATGAAGGTGTCAATACTCATTGACACTGTCCTCAACACACAAAGCCTAAATCCATGTTTGATTTAGCTATAAATAGTTTGTACCAAGCAGCTACACACAGTACACAGCGCTGTGTTGGGAGCGGTGTGAGGACTTTCCATGTTGTTCCCAGAATAAAATCAAGTCAGGCTGAGCGTTGCTCAACCATTCACAGGAAGTTTTGAATTTTATGAATGAATTCAAGGCTTCTTCTGATTGGCAAAGGGGGAGAGGATGATGTCACAATCTCAGACTCAGCTATAGGAAGCATTTTATACATTATTAAAATACAAAGCTTCCTGTTAATGGCTTGGTCCAAACAAACTATTTAAAGTTAACTAAAACCTAGCATTAGGCTTTAACCACTTCCAGTCTGGACACTTTTACCCCCTTCCTGTCAAGGCCAATTTTTAGCTTTCAGTGCTATCACACTTTGAATGACAATTGTGTGGTCATGCAACACTGTACCCATATGCATTTTTAGCATTTTTTGAAACAGATAAAGCTTTATTTTGGTGGTCAAAAAAAGTGATTTTCTTATAAAATTTTGCAAATAATTAGTATTTCATCATACATCCTTGCCAAAATTTATTCCGTTATATTTTTAGTAAAAATAAAATAACCCAAATTAGTTTATAACCAAAAATTATAATTTTTAAACATTTTTTTTGAAATTTAAAAAAAAAATTTTTTTATAAAAAATGGAGGACACAGCGGGCACCAGATCGCGGTGCTGCGTGCTCCCAGGGAGTGTGCACAGGCTGTAAGTGTGGGCGCCGTTTATGAACGGCAACCCGCTCCTGCACTGCTCCCCTCCGGCCGTTTATGTACGTGGGCCGGATGGGAAGTGGTTAAGTAATTTACAGTATGTATTGTATTTTATACATAAAATCAGCATATTAGTAGAGGAGGCCCGGCTGGGCAGAGCAGGCATGGCAGTGTCTCATTCCACCAGCAGAGGTTTTACCTTTAGCTCTCTCTCTGCTTGCTCCTTCTCAGCAGTAAGTTCAGCAAGGGAGGTCTGCAGGGCCTGAGACTCAGAGACGAAGAACGCCCGCTCTTCTTCCAGGACTCGAAATCGCTCTTCATTTTCCTTCATCCTGGGGGTAGAACAGAGGATCTAGATATATTTTGCAGTCAAATGTAAAGCCATACACACAGGCTGAATATCGGCCAAAATCAGCCAGTAGAGTAGATACTTGCCGACATTCAGCACTTGTGTACAGGTCCTTGCCTGACAGAAGCCAATCTCATGACCAGCTTCTGTCGATTGAGCATGCTGGAAAACCGGCAGTTGATTGGCATCCGATCAGTGCTCTCAGCCAATGGCTATGAGCACTATCCGGTGTGTTCTGGCGGGGAGCGGTCCCCCTGTCAGAATACAATAACTCAGAGGGTAGATCGCTGTACCAACATAAAATAGTTAGTACAGAGACCTCCTCGGTTTTTTTGTTCAGCCCCCTGAGTTGAACGAAACAAACTGTGAGTGTACAGGCATTAGACCATCAATGGAAGGGTAATCCATAAGCTTTGATTCTCATCAAGCAAAGACACTGCAGGTTACAGTGACTGGACTAACTATAAAGGTTTATATGATGATGAATTCCCTCCAATCAGATGATCTGAAGAAGACAGTTGGATGAATGATTAAACGTGTTCATGAATAATCAGGAAATCCAGTTGTGTTTGATTTACTGTCAGTAAGGGGTCTTTTATCAATGTTTCCACCCAAGATTCACATCTTTTTCAATTGGCTTTATTTCAGAAATGTGTGAATAAGGGGTCAATATGGTAATTTAATAATTTCTTTCTAATAAATATATAGCTGTGTTCATTGGTATTTTTTAATGTGCATGGAATTCAGCTTTAATGATGAATAGGTTCAAATTATAAGATACACAGAATACTCTGCTGTTAAATTACATTTTGTATGCCTAGAGTGATGTCAGTAAGTAGTATCTACATACCGGTTTATTTCTGCACAAATTCCCCATCTTAGCTGTGTTAGTTCTTGTTCACACCAGAATGAATGTATTAGAGAGCATTGCATTTACACAGGCTTACACGCAGTTGGGGTCTATTTATAATAGATTAGCTGTTTGAATGTCTCAAGGATTTGAACAGCTGTGACGAATAATTCCGTATTTGTCTAATATGTTCATTTCCTATGATCGTCAGCGCCATCTAGGTGCCGTAATGAGATATTAAGCCTTAATCAAGAAAATACTTAATTATGAACACCAGTTGGCGCTAACAATCATATTAGACAAAATAAGGCGACTATTCCTGAAGGCTGTGCAAATGCGTGAGGTATTTGCACAGTCAATATTTTATATATGGACCCCAGTATGTTTTTAAAGGACCCTTTTTAACTTGAATTGAAAGGTACAAGACAAAGCAACAAACTAAATACAGCATGTTGTATATTATTCACGCAGTGCACTGGTGGGAATAGGTCCTATGGAAAAAATTGTATTTTCTTAAATCCTAATGTATGGGCCCTCATACTAACCATACAGTCGTGCAATGGTGTGGCAATTCAAGTAAACCTTCTACCAACAGTTTGTAACAATTAAAGCTGTTGGTGGTAGATTGCTTATAGACCTGTGCATATAGGCTTCAAGTTGTGTTGTGTTGAAAGTATCAGTATGACATTAGTTTGGAATGCTTCTGAGATCATTCAGTGTTATTAAACCCACAACAGTAAAATCAGTCTGTATATGCAGTAAAGCATGTTTGTTATACTCACTGTGGAATGTAAGGGGTTAATCCTCTGCATTGTGTAAAAAGGATGTTTGATCCTGACTTCTCTGATCCTCCCCTTCTTCTACTGTCCCCAATCCATCTCCTCATAGAACAGAGCCTTGGGAGCAAGCTGCATATGTTCAGTTTGGTGTGTATTGCTAGAGAGTTTTTTTTTCTTGGGAGAGTGCATGTGATCAGCACAGGGCCAATCAGCACTGTCCAGACGGAGGGTCAGGGGTCCTGGAACCACATAGGACAATTAGGGGAGAATGAAATCTCCTCCAACAGCTTTAGCGAGTGCTCTGCTGGACACTGATAGAAATCGCAAGACTGCTATATACTGCTGATGAGAAAAGGTAATTAGCAGTTTATATTTACTAAAATAATTGCATTTCCATGTTCTGTGTACTGTGGGAGACCAGATATAATGAATGCAGGGTCCGGGGTTTAGTAATAGTTTAAGGGTTTAATTCCACTAGCAGTCTGGGGGCAGTAAAACCATGTGGTTGAGCTGCTTTTTTTTACCACACCTCATTTGCTGCTTTTTAGATGCAAAGTCAGCAGCCAGGGGTGAACACATGCCATGGCTGTGGCATGAATTATACCCTCTGTTGTGTTCGGTATACACTACAGCCTGCCATACATGATCCATTCAAGTGAATGTGGCCACTCTGCAACCGCTCTGCAGCTGCGTCTATAACACCTATAAAAGGTCTTTGAAATCCAAGTTCGGGCTGCTTTTCAGAGGATCATTTGTCCTTGCAGATAGTGTAAACAAGCCCTAAGAGCTGCATTTAACCTGCAGCTGACCTGCATTTGACCTGCTGCGGGTGGGTTTTGCACCCCTATGGACTCGTATGGGAATACAAAACCCGTTTACAGCTAACAAGTCAGTCAACACAGGTTTGTTGGACCACTTGTCATGGGTAGTGCAGCACAGTACAACTTCCCCACCTGGTTTCAGCCTGAAGCTTCTCCTCCAGTAACACTTGCATCTTGCTTTCAATCTGCTGCAGATTGCTATGGAGACCTTGTCTAGGATGCTCGCTACAATTGCTGAAGGCTGGCGTGGATCTTCACTGGCTTCCATTATGGCGATAGTCCTCTGCTTCTCCACAGACAGCTCCTGTCAATGATTATGTAGATAAGTTAAACCTCACAATAAAAGCAGTTTTCATAAAGTAGCCATTAAGTTGGCTTCATACATTACAATGTGATTGTACAATCAGATACACTAAAATAAAACTGAAGAAGACATTATAACGTGTCTGGCTGGCTGTATAGGGGATGAGCAATAGGTGTGATTTGGAGTATTTGAGTCATTGCACTAAAGTGTTGAGAGCCAGAGGTTGTAGAACTGGGATGAAGGGGCTGTGTGCTCAGTAGCCACCAGAGTAAGCATATTACCTCTTCAGGAAACTGCCATTTTCATTACTTTAGAGAACTGACAGGGTCTCTTTAACCACTTGACCTCTGGAAGGTTTTACCCCATTCATGACCAGGCCATTTTTTGCTATTCTGCACTGCGCAACTTTAACTGGTAATTGCACTGTACCCACACTAAATTTTTTTTTTTCACACAAAGTTTTCTTTTGGTGGTATTTGATCACCACTGGGTTTTTTATTTTTTGCAATACAAATGAAAACAAAAACAAAATATATGAAAAAAACATATTTTGTACGTTCTGCTATAAAACATATACAATAAACAAATTTTAGAAAATCTAATTTCTTCATACATTTTGGCCAAAATGTATTCTGCTACATGTTTTTAATTTTAAAAAAATCCTAATAAGTGTATAATGATTGGTTTGCATGAAAGTTATAGTGCTTACAAACTATGGCACTGCGATAGTGCGGCAGGCAATGTGACACTAACTAATGCTGGGGGGAACTGACTAATTGCCACTGAAAATTACTAGTGACATTAATACAGTGATCAGTGATAATACTATACACTGTCCCTGTACACTGTCTCGGAAGGGTTAACATCAAGGGTGATCAAAGGGTTAACTCCTAGTAACAAAGTGGGGTCCTTCTGTGCACTTAGCGCGGACCTCATGCATGTGCTTTTTAAACTAATTCACTTTCCTGTACTATGCAGCCAGGCTATGGATCTCCATAATGCAGGTTTGGTCCCAGTTGCTTTGGAAAACTGACCACTGAGGAGGAAGCCAGATCACTGACCCACTCACTACCAGAGGACCTGTCAGCTACACTGGGTACCATTCTTCAAGACTGGCTGCAATGTACCTTGTACTAGTTCTGGGTTACCCATTACAACTGTATGTCTCCTCCTGCTCTTCTTGCTGAGTAAACTTATGTAGTGACTTTACTTCATAGCCCACTTGTGCTTTACTGACCCTAAATTTTTTCATATGACAGGAACGATCATACACCCCATTAAAGCAACTTCAGACCAGGCTTACTACAGTTGATGCAACTTTACTGAACATTCTTGCGACACAGTCCAACATGAACAGTTCAATGAAACATTCCTTAACTATCTCAGCTAAGCTGCCCAGGCATACCTCAGCAAGGTGATAGTCCATATCTGGTGTTTCCCAAGACTTGGTGGTTATCCGGTGGTCCATCAGTGCCTTTGGTGCCTGCTGAGGATAGCAGTCGAGCCTTTGGAGCTCCACAGCAATCATGGCAACTTCCTGAGCGGGCCAAAGTGCTGGAATCCAGCCTTCAACCTTATTTATATCACAGGGCAGATAGGCTGGGTCCAAAAAGCCCAGGGACAGAGTTGCAGAACATTAACCCCTTTCCCTGCCTGGGCCAGCCAACTACCTAATTAACATATTGTAGGTAAGCTGCCTACATACATACTGTACATTCTTTTTAAGATGTCCAGAAGGGACAGTTATTTATTATAATACAATGGATCCAGTGCAGGGCTCACCTCTATTGTCCTGTGCAAGTGCTGTGTGAGGCTGCAAAGCTCTTGTTTCTCCTCTCCTACCCCCTTCAGATGGTGGACAGTCAGCTCCAGGTCACTGATGTGAATAAGAGAAGGTAAGAATGAATAGCTGCAAATCACAGGCAAGCAGCTCAAGTTACAAATTACTAATAAAACTAAAATATGGGTCAGCTGAATTTTCATATACACATTGCTTTATTAGTTTTGTATGTAACATGAAATAATGATTCTACACCCAATATCTATAGTTCTTAATTATTTGCAAAATAAATATATCATGATATAAAATATTAAATACAGTTACAATATTTTTTTTTTTTGCTTCATGATAATTTTATTGAAAACGTTGCACGTAGGACAATGTAGAAAGCAACCATAAGGACGTGAACATTGAGGAATGAGACATACATGGAGCATACATACAGATCCATGGTAAATCAATGGTAATGGTTCACTAGAGGGCACTTGAAATCTAAGATAGAATAGGCATAGAAAAGAGAGCAGACCCCCAAAGTGTTTGTCATGCCCTCTGGCAACAGCTCCTGCTTGAAACCAGATCTAGTTCATCCAAATGAAATCTAAAGTAGCAAAAGAAAAGGAGTAGAGACAGATAAGATGGAGAAGAGAGGGGGGGAGGGGGGAAGAGAGAAGAACCCCCCTGAAAACAGATATAAGCCATCTTCAAGCCTCTCCCACACCCTATCCCCCAAAACAGAAGTAGGGGTGGGAGAGAAGCTCTGCCACACTCCGTTCTGAAAGCCCAATAAGCCTAGAAGACCAATATAAAGGATTACATACTTAAGGCAGGGACACCATAAACAAAGTTTACAAAAAGGATCTATACTGTATTCAGCAGTCATCTTAAAGTTCAACTAGCAGGCCCAGGAGGTGGTGAATTTAGATATCCTGTTTTGTGCAATATGTATCAGTTTCTCCATCTCCTCCATGCTGTCAATCCTGCAGAACTGCTCCCGTATCATGGGAACATTGGTGGTCCACCAAAGACAAGATATACATTGTTTAGCCACAATAACCATGCTCATATCCAAAGATTATTATTATACAGGATTTATATAATGCTAACAGTTTGAGCAGCGCTCTACAAAGATTTGTTATATTCTCTCTTGGATAGCGTAGAGTGGTGAAGCAAATATTGTGCCCGGGTAAAGTTCAGTGTAAAAGATGCAACTTTAGCAATAATGTTGTGTACCTGAGTCTAGAAGGGCAGTAAATGAGTGCATGTTCACCATGTATGGCAAATTAAACCGACTGCCTCCCTGCACCACCAACAGAGATTGGAAACTGAGGGGTAAAAGTTGTGCAGTAAAGAGGGCACAGTATCACCAAGAAAGGACCTTATACCCATTTTCCTGTGGAGCCACATTCAACAAGCCCTTGTGGATGTATGCGCAGATGGTCTCCCATTCTTCATGAGAGAGAGAAAGGTCCAAGTCTTGTATCCAGGACTGACAGGCTGAAGTAGTGATACGCTCTGTCTTGGAGAGAGGAAGTGTCTTGGAGAGAGTATATGGGTGGACATAACATGCTGTTGGGTCGGTCGTTAACAGATACATAGAGCTTCCAGGGGTGTCAGTGGTCTGGTACATGCTGTCCTAGGTCCCAGAGTGGTCAGGAAATTATGGATTTTGGAGATATGCCCACTGTGAATGCTCAAGTGGGACCAACATGTTGTTAAGGGCTTCCCTGGACAAAAGACCCCCGCCAATACAATATTTTATCCATTTAAAGGTGGCCATACACTCTTTGATAAATTATGGGATCTGATAATCTTCTGATAGGAATACTCGATCTATAGTCAACAACCCAATTGCCTGACTGGTTTTGGATTTCCATCAATAGTTAAGATTCAAACATAACATGCAACCATTACGTTATCGATCACATCTGTGTTTCCACCATTAATTCCCATAATCTGATTGATAAAAATATGATCGTATTCATAAATATAGTATCTCAATGCTACCGATCTAAACAATTGATCATTTCCACCCTGGCTGAGTTTGATCGAATTTGATCTAAATCAAGTCTAAATTGATTAGAACGAATGTTATGGCCGATCAATTGTTTACGGATTTGATCATTTTGAGCTACTCACACATTGATCAGATAATAAAATCGAAGAGGGTATGGCCATCATTAGTTAACTGAATGCTCTATATACTGTGCATGTATGTATGGTTAAGCAGTGGTTTTTCTATGGCTGTTGTGAGCTATCACAATCATACTATGTTAATATTAAAATGCATCTATAGGCAAATAGTTATTCGAATTCAATAGGATAGGAAGGCTTAAAACCTCTGTCAGGGTTTTATTGCTCAAGTAGGATGAGGTAAGGGGCGAGGGACTGTTGTCAAAAATACAGAGAAAATATAGCCCATAGCACACTTTACAGATAATGTGTTCACAAAGTGTGACACCCTGATAACCAGTGTACGGGAGCACCCTTACCACCAGTGTAAAAGGGCACACTGACCAGCAATGTAAGGAGGCACGCTGACAACTGACTACCAATATAAGGGGATGCACTTAGCACTAATGTGAGAAGACACAATAAGAGGATTTACTGAGCAACAATGTAGAAGGACTCACTGAGCACTCACCACCAATATAAGGGATGGGAACACATTGACCAGTTTTTTCCCTGACGAAGCCACGTGGTTGGTGGCGTAACGCGTGGGGCGGAGCCTAGTGATGTCATTGCCGGCTTTATCAGGAGTGGGAGTTTTAAATTCTAAATCGATCTGTTACTGCTTCTATCATGTAAGTGACACTCTGGAACAATTTTATGTGAAATGAAAGAGTATTACACTATGGGAGATGTCGTCTGCTCTTTCTGTATGTGGAGTTAAGCTGAGAAGAGTCCCTTATATACTGTCACTGAAGGGGTGCCTGTCATCAGCTCTCTGATGCCATCTAGAGCATCTTTTTGGAAATACCATGCTTGGTTGACCTGTATTAATTTATAGGTCCACAGTATGAGGTGAGTGGCCATCTATATATTTTTAGATGGAGGAACACTAAGTCAAGGTGGAGCACTGTGTTTTTTGAAAAGGCTTAAATTGTCCGGAGCACATCGTATTGATTTTTCACCATTCAAGCACTTTATTGAATTTCTAATTTATATTTCATATTTTGATTGAACTATCACATTTGAACTTTTTATGGACTATTATTTCGATATGAGTTTTAATGTTTTAGCACATTGAGCACTGACCACGAATACAAGGGGAGTACACTAAGCACTGATTGCGAATTAAGGGAACACACTAAGTGCGAACCACCAGCGTGAGGGGGCATGCTGACCACCAGGGTAAGGGGGACTATTAGAAAGTGTAACAGTTAATACTTCTACAGCTTGGATTACTTGTACCGTAGTTTGCAGATATAACATGGCATGTTTATACGTATATTAATGCAGATATAAAAAGTACAGCTCAGACTTACTGCTTGATCTTTTCTTGTTCAACCCTGAGCTCTTGAACCAGATCTTCAAAATGGCTCTTTTCAGTCTCCAAGACCTGATTTATTCTCTCTAGTTCCTAAAGAAAGATTATCCACAAAATGTATCAATAAAACCTGAGAGATTCCATTCAGACTTCATTTATAATGCGAAAATCAATGTACAAAGTGCAGTAAACCATAATACTCAGGGCATTTTTTTCAGTGGGAACGTGGAGGAACGCAGTTACAGCACCTCCAGTGCTAAATGAATGTAAGGACAAGGAGTGCTGGGATGTGCTGGAGGGTCTATTGACGCTGGCTGCTGGGGGATCTGTTTTCACTGGAGGGGATCTATTGTTGCCTATTGTTGCTGGGGAGACCTATTGTTGCTGGAGAGGGATCCATTGTTGCTGGGAGATCACTTGTTGCTGGAGAGGGATCTATTGTTGCTGGGAGGTTAATTGTTGCCGGAAGGTTACTACTGTTGAGGGAGGGGTCTATTGTGGCTTGCTGATTAGAGACCTGTTGTTCCTGTTGGAGACCTATTGTTGCTGGAGTGGTATTTTGTTGTGGGGGTCCATTGTTGCTGGGGGGCTATTGTTTCTGGCTGCATGGAACTATTTTACTTCTTTTCTTGTTATCATTGACAAATCCCATACAAAATGATACTTGGCTGTGTATTATCTAAAAGGAGCAGTACTAGGAGGTGGGTAGGGGGTGGGACCAAAGGGCAGTGCTCGGAGGTGGATAGAGGGAAATAAGGGGTGACTCAGAAGGGGGGAGTTCCTGCACCTATTTTCAGAGAGAGAAAAAGCCCTGATAATACCCAATCAACAACTGCACAGCTTACTGTATTGAGACGGCTAGGAGCATTTTTAACAATTTGTGAACATGTCCTTTAAAATGCCTACAAATAATTATTTTTAATACATTATAATATATTATTATGTATACATATATTAAATATATTTGCCAATTTAAGTAGATAAATTTGTGGAGCCAGAGAATTTCTCTGCTTCCACATTCTTAAATGTCAAGTGATTCAAATCTTACAGATGAAGGAAATCAAGCAGTTAATTTGTTTGTCTGTTACGTCACCTCTTTCTGCTCGCGTTGTGAGCACAGCTCCTCTGTCTCCGTCATCAGTTTATCTGTAGAACAACCAGCAGAAATGAGTGTAAGATGCAGATGACACCAGCCTGTACCTCCTGGAACAGTTTGACATTGGCGATTAATCCATCAGTATAATATTATTTTGTCAATCAGTACAGTGTGTGTGTGTGTGTATATATATATATATATATATACAGTATATATATATATATATATATATATGTATGTATATATATAGCACAGGTGGAAAAAAATAACACTCTTACTATGTTTCCCTAAACATCTTTGGTGTAATACATGTTCTGTATTTTAATTAGAATTCCAATTACTTTCCAGGTCAGGTCATGTAGGTCATTAAGTATTAAAATATTTAGGCAATTCGATATTTGATATTTATATGTTTTATGTGTTGAAGACATCATTACTTACACAAGTGTCAGTTATGCAAGTACCAGCCTTAGAAGACCAGCCAGTGTGTTATCGCCCAAAGCCTTTGCCATTCTTGGGGAGTCACCGGGCCCCACTTTGACTCCCCTCCTTTGGGCTGTCCAGTAGGGGCTGTTACCACCTGGACTCCCCTTGGAGGACTCCCAGGTAATTATAGGGGCATAAATAGGTGATTGTGTATAAACAAATTGTAATATACATAGATGATTGTTTTGCTGATAAAATTAGTATTTTCCTATTTAGGTTTGTTAGTCTTGTACCCTTGGCAGCTCCTGATGAAGTGGATTCTATCCAAGACAGTCATTGCAATCACTGACAAGAGTATATGAGTTTAGTATATGAGAAAGCTGTTCTAATAAAAAGCTTGGGATATGTAATTGCTGCATATCTGTAATAACACTTCTACACATTTTAGCCTTTCATCCAACCTGCTATTGGCTGAAAGCGGGTCACAGGAGTGCAAAACAAACTGCACTCCTGTGATCCATAGAAGTACAGCCAAAAAATGCTTTTCTACAAGAGCTCTGAGTATTCCTATTGGTATCCTTCATGTATTTCTGTGCTTTGCATCTGTGAAGCAGTTTCCTGTAATATAGACCATTTGTTGCTGCTCTCTCTCCTTATGCAGGATGACTGGTCTTGTGTCCCTCCCCTTGCAGTTTTCTACAGGCAGCCTATAGCAGGTGGTCCTGCTAGACCCCATCCACAACTCTGCTTTCTGTACAGGCTATATGCAGCACAGCGATGATGTCACTGCTATTTGTACAAGGCGGTAGCTGGGTTTGCAAATGCAGAGAGATAAAGAGAGTTACATACAGCTCAACAAGCACCAATCTGACCTGCTTAGAGCACATATCATCATCTATCTTGTATGTTGTATTGAATCAGAATACTGCATCCTTGATGTAACATACCAAAATACTCCTGTCTCTCTTTAGCTAGCTGCAGGCCCTGAGCTTCCAGGCTTCCAATCATCGCCTCTCCCAGCTGGGCGTTCTGCCAGGTCCTATGTGCCGAGCAAAAGAAGTATGCATTAGTACAATTAGAACATTGTCTCTGCCATGCTCCACCCATCTTTAAAAGGCAGCCTTCAGTCATAAAGTGTAATGGCTAAGTACTGACAACTTAGTGGCTGTTCTCTCTGCAATCTTCATTTGTCTATAGGCTCATTTCTATTCAGAAACAGAGTGGGCTTTTAAGAGAAATGGAAACAAATGCTATTAAATGTAGCAGCTTAGCATTTAGAATGAGGGCCTATTACACACTAGGGGCAGAAAAAACACTCTAATGGGTCATATTGCATAAGCAACATTACTTGTGCCCAGTGTACATGTACCCTAAATGGCAAATTAAAACACAGCTCCTGACAGTTCTAGTTTGATTACGTCATGTTTACCTATCCCCCAACCAGTTATCAGTACCTAGACACAGCCATAGCAGTTGGCCACATGGGTTCTGCCAAAGGGAAAAAGGGGCTTAGACAAAGACAACCAATCAGCATATCTCCCAACTTTGAAACTTGAAAAAGAGGGAGACCTTGAGGTAGAGAAGACATACATTGTGCGCCATGCCAAAATTCGGCATGGCTAAACTGAGCTAACTATTGGGCATAGATTAAAGGACCATGGTTAAATAGAGTCTGAGCCTACAGTACATATTGTATACACTGTAAACAGTCTGCAGTCCTTGTACTCACAAAATAATCCAAAGTTACTATGCTATAAGTGGGAGCTCCACATACATAAACCTGTGGTCAGTTGGAAGCCAAGACTCATCGGGAGAGCAGGGAGCAAAAGGGCTTAACAAGGGGAACGATAGTGCGCAGTGGGAGGTAGAGGAACAATAATGTACAACGAGGGTTGGGGGAACAACAGTGCTGGGGGGGGGGGGTAGTATCCAGAAGGAGCAATAGTGCCAAGCAGGGGGGAAAGGAACAATGGTGCACAGGGGGTAGTGGAGAGCAACTATATTAGGGTGCAGTGGAGGGTAGATGAGAACAATAGAGCCCAGTAGGGGGTGGGTTGGGACAATAGTGCCCAGGGGGGTGGCAAAGGAGAAACAATAGTGCCCAGTAGTGGGTGGGAAGGAACAAAAGTGCCCAGGGAGTAGTGGGGAGAAACAGTAGTGTCCAGCAGGAGATGGGCAACAATGCTAAGAGGTACAAGGGGGGGGGGGACAAAAATAACTAACAGAGGGTGGGTAGTGCAAGAGTGGGCAATGCAAGAATGGAGAGAATAATAGAGTCTAGCAGGGGTGGGGCTCAGTGGGGGGGGGGGGGGATAATAGTGACATTGGTGTTAGTAGAAAACATTTACCTCACACAGAAGTCTGTGTCCTGCACTGCTGCTCTCCCCCAGTCCTCCCTCCTTTCTATTTGGACTACACAGTCGGGCAGGATGTCACAGAATGTGCAGGTTATTAGAATGGATTCCTGGAATAAGCAGTTCAGCACTGGGACACCAAGACTGAGATCCCAGGACAGTCCTGCAGATGCCGGTATGGTTGGGTGGGGGATAAATCAGTGTCTCAAACTTAACACAGATCTTCCTTTTGTCAGCAGCCAAGTGTTCTGCTGCTATGGCTGTTTTCTGAGCAGCTGATAGGCAAGTCTAGCCCAACTTAGCAGTTTAGTATGTAGACAACAGGAGTTGAAGAGCTGTAATATGTTAGCTTTTTAACAGACTTCCAGAAATAGAGTAGGAGGGTCAACCACTGGCTTATGAATATTTATCTGACCTCAGCCAATCCCTGGGAGGGGGCACCCAGAGGGTGGTTGGGGAGAAGATAAATGTTTTGGAGGTTTGGTCTGTCTCTCTTCTCTCCTGGGGCCTCTGGCCTAGGAGGCAGCTGCATTACTGTCCTCAGCATGTTCTTGGCTCTAGGCCAGGAGGAACCTGGATTCCATTTGCTGGAAGACACTAGCTTAGGGAGCTAGACTGAAGAAGAATCCCTTTTTACTGAAGAATGTTGCATGGAAGCTGGTTGGAGACAGCTGTCCTTGGACATTGTGAGGAGGACCTTTTTACCTAGTACTCCAGGTGTGCCTATGCTTTGAGGGGTAGATGTCAGGGGTTTCTACAAGGACTGTGACAGATTTTACAGAGTCTCAGATGGGTTGGCTGTCCCTTATACCTCCAACAATATTTAGGGCTGCTGCTAAAGGATTTTTTTTCTTAAGAATCTGTCCTTCTCTCGCTAGCATTTTTGGAGTATCCTGCACCCCTCATCGCCCTCTCTTGTTTAATTACTACAATACATCTTCAGAAAAACATAGCCTGTGTTTGTTGTGTGCTCTGAATTATTTGAATTTGACCTGATATTCTAGTCTTTGTACAGCAGGTCTGGAGTGTGAGAGAAAGAATTAGTACAAGGACCCAATCAGTTCATGTGCTGAAAAGAGGCATGCTGATAGGAGAAGAGAGCAGAGTGACAAACAGATGAATAAATCACTGTGCTGCTACTCCTTTTAATGTCCAGTCACAGACTGTGCTGCTACTCCTTTTAATGTCCAGTCACAGACTGGGGGTTGTCCTCAGAGGAAGAGGGTTGAATGATGCCAACTACCAGACCAAGGCCTAAATGGGGAATACCTCTGGATTGAAATGGAATATTTCAGCAAAAGCTGGTTTTGTTATTTTTTCTTTTAAGGGCTAATCATTTCTATATTGTAATTTTTGGCTGGAGTCTGCTCTTATATATAGAGCATGTGATCATTGTATATCTGTATTTGCAATATTAAATCTCTTACAGGTAAATCCTTAATGCATTCGTAGCAACAAGTGTCAGTGTAGATCAGTCTGTTTTTTATCTACTTGGGTGTGCGTCATAAATTTCACTTTGGCATTTTCAGAAAGCAGAAAAAACTAATGCACTTACACTTTGCCAGATTCATGCAGCATTTCCAGCCACTGGCTTTGCTCAATCTCAGTCTCTGCAGCCAGCAGGATGTTTCCCTGCAGGGTAGAATGAGAGAGCTGCAGTCCCGTTGAGGTATGGTGTGATGAAAAGATGTCCTAGAATACGTCCAGGAATCATCTACATCTGGGCTCAAGAATCACACATAATGGCACAACTGTCATTTCACAGATCTCTGCCTGTTCACTCCTAGCTAGCTGGGTCCCACACATCCAAATGTCAGTACTCTCTTAATTTCCCCATTGACAATAATCAGATTCAGACCTGCCTGGAAAATGACAGCTGGAATCTGAAAGCTTGAAGCTGATTGCTCACATTGGGAAAAATCATTTTATTTCTTAGTACAAACACTTTCGACATATACAGTATACTATTGTGCTACTGTCTGACCTATTTATTTTGGGATTTTTGGAACACACAGACTGTTTAGAAAGAGTAGGAACTTGAGCTGGAAAAAATAAATGTGCAGTGACCCCCAACATCCAGTTAGAAATCATCTTTCATTATTCTGACATCAGTGGAAGTAGATCTAAATCCAACACTGAAATTTCATATTCAGTAAGTTGTAACATGAGTGTAATTTCAGTAGTTGTTTTCAAACTTTAAATATGCAGCTTTTGTTAAAATAATTCATGGAGATCATGCCATGGTCTTTGTTCAATCTCTTTCTGTTATGGTGTGACAACTGTTTCCCAATTTTGCTCCTATGTTGTCATCCTGTCACATTGTGCTCCCAGTGACTACAAGCAGGCTTCTAGACACAAAGAGCTATGCTCCACAGATGTCACAGCCAAAAAAAGGTTGGAGATCAGGGGCAATGAAAAAACTGTATTTAATATAAAAAATAGGTTAACATACACTGTACTTTACCTTACAAAATCTTATTCAGTTAGTATTTAGATCCCCTTTAACTTAAAGCACTTGGTGTGCTTATTCAACTATGCATGCATTATGCACACTTACGTAGCTTGGTCACATTACTAACTTATAAACATTGTGTTATTGCCCTGTCCTCATTCCAGGTCATTCCTCAGAACAGAAGAACAGAAGTGACCAAAAGCACATAAACCCCTCAACCCCAGATACATTCACAGACACTCCTCCACCCCAGACACATTTCCAGATACCCCTCCATTTCACACACATCCGCAGAAATCCCTCCACCCCACACAAAACCACAGACACACTTCCATCCCACAAACATCCACAGAAATCCCTCCACCCCACACAAAACCACAGACACTCTTCCATCCCACAAACATCCACAGAAATCCCTCCACCCCACACAAAACCACAGACACTCCTCCATCCCACACACATCCACAGAAATCCCTCCACCCCACACAAAACCACAGACACCCCTCCATCCCACACACATCCACAGAAATCCCTCCACCCCACACAAAACCACAGACACTCTTCCATCCCACAAACATCCACAGACACCCCTCTCCCAAAGACACATCCAAAGACACCCCTCCACCACAGATATAGCCACAGACACCTCTCCACCCCAGAAAAATCCACAGACACCCCTCCATCACAGATATCGACAGACACCCCTCCACCACAGAGATATCCACAGATACTCCTCCACCACAGAGATATCCAGAGACACCCCTCCACCACAGAGATATCCACAGACACCCCTCCACCACAGAGATATCCACAGACACCCCTCCACCACAGAGATATCCACAGACACCCCTCCACCACAGAGATATCCACAGACACCCCTCCACCACAAAGATATCCACAGATACTCCTCCACCACAGAGATATCCACAGATACTCCTCCACCACAGAGATATCCACAGATACTCCTCCACCACAGAGATATCCACAGACACTCCTCCACCACAGAGATATCCACAGACACCCCTACACCACAAAGATATCCACAGACACCCCTGCACCCTTTACACATCTACAGACACCCCTGCACCACAGACACATAAACAGACACTCCTCCACCCCAATGACATTCACAAACACTCCTCCGCCCTATACCCTATTCAAATTTACAGACACCCCTGCACCCCAAATGCACCCAGGGGCATCTCTCCATCCCAGACACATCCACAGACATCCCTCTATGCTAGAGACATTCCCAAACACCCTATCCACCAGACACATCTTCAGACACATCCACAGACACCCCTCCACCACAGAGATATCTACAGACACTCCTCCACTCCAAACACATCCACAGAAACTCTTCCACCCAAGACACCCCTCCACTCCAGACACATCCACAGACACCCCTCCTCCCCAAGACACATCCATAGACACCACTCCACCCCAGATAAAAACACAGACAACCCTCCACCCCAGACACATCCACAGACACCCCTCAACCCCCATAGACATCCTAAGACACTCCTCCACCCCTGCACCCCAGACATATACACAAACACCCCAGATGCATACATAGGCACTCCTCCACCCCAAAGACATCCACAGGCATTTCTTCAATCCAAATACCTTCACAGACACTCCTCCACCCCAGACACATTCCCAGACACCCCTCCATCCCACACACATCCACAGAAATCCCTCAACCCCACACAAAACCACAGACACTCTTCCATCCCACAAACATCCACAGAAATCCCTAAACCCACAAAAAACCACAGACACACCCCTCGATCCCCACATCACATCCAAAGAAATCTCTCCACCCCACACAAAACCACAGACAGTCTTCCATCCCACAAACATCCACAGACACCCCTCTACCAAAGACACATCCAAAGACACCCCTCCACCACAGAGATATCCACAGACACCTCTCCACCCCAGACAAATCCACAGACACCCCTCCACCACAGAGATATCGACAGACACCCCTCCACCACAGAGCTATCCACAGATACTCCTTCACCACAGAGATATTAACAGACACCCTTCCACCCCAGATACATCCACAGACACTGCTCCACCACAGAGATATCCACAGACACCCCTCCACCACAAAGATATCCCACAGACACCCCTTCACCCCAGACAAATCCACAGGCACTCCTCCTCCCCAAACACATCCACAGACACCCCTCCACCATAAAGATATCCACAGACACCATTCTGCCACAGAGATATCAACAGACACCCCTCCACCACAGACAAATCCACAGGCCCTTTTCCTCCTCAGACATATGCACAGACACACCTCCACCACAGAGATATCCACAGACACCGCTCCACCACTGAGATATCCACAGACATCCCTCCACCACAGAGATATCCACAGACATCTCTCCACCACTGAGATATCCACAGACACCACTCCACTACAGAGATTTCCACAGACACTCCTCCACCATAGAGATATCCACAGACAACCCTCCACCACAGAGATAGCCACATGCACCCCTCCACCACAGAGATATCTACAGACACTCCTCCACCCCAGACACATCCATAGAAACCCTTCCACCCCAGACACCCCTCCACTCCAGACACATCCAGACACCCCTCCTCCCCAGACACATCCACAGACACCCCTCCTCCCCAGACACATCCACAGACACCCCTCCACCCCAGACAAAACCACAGACAACCCTCCAGCCCAGACACATCCACAGACACCCCTCCACCACAGAGATATCTACAGACACCCCTCCACCACAGAAATATCTACAGACACTCCTCCACCCCAGACACATCCACAGAAACCCTTCCACCCCAGATACTCCTCCACTCCAGACACATCCACAGACCCCCTCCTCCCCAGACACATCCACAGACACCCCTCCACCCCAGACAAAATCACAGACAACCCTCCACCCCAGACACAATCACAGACACTCCTCCACCCCATAGACATCCTAAGACACTCCTCCACCCCTGCACCCCCAGACATTTCCACAATACCCCAGATGCATACATAGGCACCACTCCGCCCCAGAGACATTCACAGACATTCCTCAAATCCAGACACCTCCACAGACACCCTTCCACCCCAGACACATCCACAGACACCCCTGCACCCTTTACACATCCACAGACACCCCTGCACCGCAGACACATAAACAGACACTCCTCCACCCCAATGACATTCACAGACACTCCCCCGCCATATACCATATACAAATCCACAGACACCCCTACACCCCAAATGCACCCAGGGACATCTCTCCATCCCAGACACATCCACAGACATCCCTCTATCCTAGAGACATTCCCAAACACCCTATCCACCCCATACACATCTTCAGACACATCCACAGACACCCCTCCACCACAGAGATATCTACAGACACTCCTCCACTCCAAACACATCGACAGAAACTCTTCCACCCAAGACACCCCTCCACTCCAAACACATCCACAGACACCCCTCCTCCCAAGACACATCCATAGACACCCCTCCACCCCACATAAAACCACAGACAACCCTCCACCCCAGACAAATCCCACAGACACCCCTCCACCCCATAGACATCCTAAGACACTCCTCCACCTCTGCACCCCAGACACATACACAAACACCCCAGATGCGTGCATAGGCACTCCTCCTCCACCCCAAAGACATCCACAGGCATTTCTTCAATCCAAATACCTTCACAGACACCCTTCTACCCCAGACACATCCACAGACACCCCTCCACGTCAGACACATCCACAGACACCCCTGCACCCTAAACACATCCACAGACACACCTGCACCCTGACACATAAACAGACACTCCTCCACCCCAATGGCATTCACAGACACTCCCCCACCCTGTACCCAGGCACTCCTCCTCCACAGACACATCCACAGACACTCCTCCACCACAGAGATATCCACAGACACCCCTTCACCACAGAGATATCCACAGGCACCCTTCCACCACTGCACCCCAGACACATCCACAAATATCCCAGATGCATACATAGGCATCCCTCCACCCCAGAGACATCCACAGACATTCCTCCAATTCAAGCACCTCCACAGACACCCCTCTACCCCAGACACATCCACAGACACCTCTCCACCCCGGACACTCTTCCACCCCAGACACATCCACAGACACCCCTGCATCCTATACACATCCACAGACACCCCTACACCCCTGACACATAAACAGACACTCCACCCCAATGACATTCACAGACACTCCCCCACCCCTGCACCCTATACAAATCCACAGACACCCCCGCACCCCATATGCACCCAGGGGCATCTCTCCACCCCAGACTTACCCACAGACATCCCTCCATCCTAGCGATGTCTCCATACACCCCTCTACCCCAGACACATCCACAGACACCCCTTCCACCACAATGATATCCACAGACACCCCTCCACCCCATAGACATCCAAAGACACTCCTCCACCCCTGCACCCCAGACACATCCACAAATACCCCAGATGCATACATAGGCACCCCTCCACCCCAGAGACATCCACAGACATTCCTCCAATCCAAACACCTCCACAGACACCCCTCAACCCCAGGCACATCCACAGACACCCCTCCACCCAGGACACTCCTCCACCCCAGACACATCCACAGACACCCCTGCACCCTATACACATCCACAGACACCCCTGACACATAAACAGACACTCCTCCACCCCAATGACATTCACAGACACTCCCCCACCCCTGCACCTTATACAAAATCCACAGACAACCCTGCACCCCATATGCACCCAGGGGCATCTCTCCACCCCAGACATATCCACAGACATCCCTCCATCCTAGCAATGTCTCCACACACACCTCTACCCCAGACACATCCACAGACACCCCTTCCACCACAGAGATATCCACAGACACCCCTTCCACCACAGAGATATCCACAGACACCCCTCCACCACAGAGATATCCACAGACACCCCTCCACCACAGAAATATCCACAGACACCCCTCCACCCCAAAAAACATACACAGACACTTCTCCACCCCAGACAAAAACACAGACACCCCTCCACCCCATAGACATCCAAAGACACTTCTCCACCCCTGCACCCTAGACACATCCACAAACACCCCAGATGCATTTATAGGCACCCCTCCTCTCCAGAGACATCCACAGACATTCCTCCAATCCAAATGCCTCCACAGACACATAAACAGACACTCCTCCACCCCAAGACATTTATGGACACTCCCCCACCCCTGCACCCTATACAAATCCACAGACAGACACCCCTGCACCCCAAATGCACCCAGGGGCATCTCTCCACCCCAGACACATCCACAGACTCCCCTCCAGCACAGAGATATCCACAGACACCCCTCTATTCCAGACAAATGCACAGGCACTAGTCCTCCCCAGACACTTCCACTGACACTCCTCCACCCCAGAGATATCCACAGATACTCCTCCACCCCAGAGATATCCACAGACACTCCTCCATGCCAGACACATCCACAGACACTTCCCTACCCCAGACACATTCACAGACACTCCTCCACCCCAGAGATATGCACAGACACTCCTCCATGCCAGACACATCCACAGACACTTCCCTACCCCATACACATCCACAGATACCTCCCTACCCCAGACACATTCACAGACACTCCTCCACCCCAGACACATCCACAGACACCCCTCCACCACAGACACATCCACTAACATCCCTCCACCACAGAGATATCCACATATACTCCTCCACCACAAAGACATATACAGACACTCCTCCACCCCAGAGATATCCACAGACATCCCTCCACCCCAGACACATCCACAGACACTCCTCCACCCTAAAGACATCCACAGACACCCCTCCACCTCAAAGACATTAGGGTTGTCACCTCATCCCTTTAAAACCATACCAGGGGCGGACTGACAACTCATGGGGCCCCCGGGCAATAGGGGATAATGGGGCCCCTGTGTCCTTGCCCAAACTCAAAAAAGCCTATGAAAAAGGTACCAGGGGCATCTCATGGGGCCCCATACTGACCCCGGGCCCTTGGGCAGTACCCAAGTTTCCAAATGGTCAGTCTGCCCTGAACTGTACAAATATTAATTACACAGGTTCTATGGCTGATTAAGATTGTAATTAAACTTACTTAGTGTCTTAACTTCAATAAATTAGCCTCAGAACCTGTGTAATTAATGTGTTTGGTTTTAAAGGAATGAGGTGGCAACCCTAAAAGACATACACAGATATTCCTCCACCCCTGCACTCTATACACATCCACAGACACCCCTGCACTCCAAATGCATGCACAGACACTCCTCTACCCCAAAGACATACACAGACACCCTTCCAGCCTATACAAATCCACAGGCACCCCTCTACCCCAAATGCACCCAGGGGCATCTCTCCATCCCAGACACATCCATAGACATCCCTCCACTGCAGACACATCCACAGACACCCTTTCACCCCAGACACATCCACAGACACCATTCCACTCCAGACACATCCACAGACACCCTTCCACTCCAGACACATCCACAGACACCCTTCCACCCCAGACACATCCACAGACACCCTTCCACCCCAGACACATCCACAGACACCCTTCCACCCCAGACACATCCACAGACAACCCTTCCACCCCAGACACATCCACAGACACCCTTCCACCCCAGACACATCCACAGACACCCTTCCACTCCAGACACATCCACAGGCACTCCTCCTACCCAGCACCCTATACACATCCACAGACACCCCTGCACCCAGGGGCATCTCTCCACTGCTGACACATCCACAGACACCCCTCTCTCTTAGAGACATCCACAGATACCCCTCCACCCCAGACACATCTACTGAATCCTCTTCACTCCAATTCTGCTGCTAGCCTTTTCAACCCCAACAGTTCTCCTAACTCCCAGCATGGCTGTGGTTGGAATATTCATTGAGTCCCATGTATCCAAATGTCAACACTCAGTTATTTTCATTTCCCATTAGATATTAATGAGATTAAATTCTGTCTGAAACTGACAGCTGGGATCTGAAATCTGCTTTGATTTTAATTTTATAAACTGAGAGGTACACTATGGGGGAGATTTACTAAAACTGGACCGTGCAAAATCTGGTGCAGCTCTGCCTAGATACCAATCTGAATTCAGGTTTTTTGTCAAAGCTTTATTGAAGAAGCTGTAGGTAAAGCTGATTGGCTACCATGCACAGCTGCCCCAGATTCTGAGTGCTACAACTTTAGTAAATCTTCACCTATATGAGAATTCCATAATTAAACATCACTTTTGTGATTTGGATCTGATAGAAGCAGCCATGTCCTGACTTGTGCCACATACTAGTTTCCGGGCAAAGGCTGAGTGGATGGATTTAGCTGCCGAGAATTATTATGTGAATTGTGACTATATCAGTTAAGCCAGCTGCATGATTTAAAGAGGCAGTGCTTACTCAATATCCCTTCCCTGATTATCCATAGCCTACTTTGCTTATATGCTTGTGGGTGTTATACAGTATCTGTAGACAACTCATGGTCTTTCCTTTAGGTTTTCCTCCTTCCTATTGATACTAAAGCCTTAGGGCCAATTCACACCAGTGCGCTGATTTGCGTTTTAGTGCAGCTGTAAAATGCAGATCAATAGATGCCATATGAAAAATAATTATTTCCAATGTGTCCTGTTCACACCATAATGCTGCGTTGACCTATGTTGCGCAAAAATGCAACATGTATGCATTTTAACACAACAGATGTAAGCTGATGTCAATGCAAAGCACAGGATATCCTGTGAAAATGCAGTATTATTATTATTATTATTCAGTATTTATAAAGCGCCAATAGTTCGCTCAGCGCTGTACATTACAAAGGGGGACAGAACATGTGACAGAACAATACCAATACAATGCAAAACATGAGGGGATCAAGGGCCCTGCTCTTTCAAGCTTACAATCTAGGAACACTTTAACCCGCACTAAAATGCATGTCAGCTAGCGTCAAAATGTATTTCAACAGATGCCAAAATGTATTTCAACTGACGTGAGCTTGTGACTAAATTGCATGGAAATGTAAATCAATTTTCCATACATTTTGCCACAAGTCATTGTGAATTGGCACTTAAACAACACACAATCAAATAAAAAAAGGAAATACCATTTTTGGAGGTTTATAATCAAATACCTACATGAAAATCTTCATGTGAGATTTTAATGGCATATGGCATGCTGGGTTCCTCTTTAGCTTCCACCTGGCAGCCACCAAGTGGTATCACTCCCTGACAAAAAATAACACATAAGATTACATGAAATACCAAAAAGTAGAAATGTAATATAAAAATGTATTATAAGGCTAGAAAGTAAATTGTTCTGATAACGGTTAATGAATGCCTAGAAGTTTGATGCTTATTTCAACTTAGGACTTGCAGCATTTCCAGACTGTTCAAAAAACATTTAAAGGACATTCATAGAAAATGTCAATCTACACATGGACATAAATATTGGCCACACATTTCTATACATAACCCGGATATGAGGAACCATTGAGTAATAAAACAGCAGCCATTAAAGGATTGCAAGCATTACTTCCCATGAATAATTCTTATACATAAGAACATCTCTATTATTCATCAAACTATTGCTATGGCAGCTAAAACACACGATCTTTAGAATTGGTCATTTTGTACACAGATGCAGTACTATAGCAGTACAGCTTCTGGCATTCGGTTGATGAGGATATTGGGATGTGCAGTCAAGCTGAAGCTTTGAAAGAATGTGTTTTTTATACTAATGAACGTATATTGGTAATCTCTGTAGAGGAATATAGATGTGTCAATGGTAATAAGGATTAGCGCACATGCAAAGCTCACCTTGGGGTGAATATTAAAATATCTGTTGCTTTCAAAGTTCCTCTTTTCACTCTCAGAGTAGTAAAGCAAAAAGCTGTCCTTTATTATAAAAAACCTGTAAAAAAAAAAAAGGAAAACAATGCCCAGTACATATTTTTAAAAGCTGTATAAATTACAGATCACGTAGTAAACCTTGTTGAGGAATCACTGTTAAAAAAATTGTAATATAACATAGTTTGTATGGCATGAACTGCAATCATGGCTTACTCTTACCTCTTGGACCATTTAGCAGACTGCCTCCCAAAGGGTCTTTTCCATAGCACCCCCTGAAGCTGCACCTTGGTTCTGATGTCCAGATTGTCCGTGTCGGTGTGATCCATGGATGGAGAAGGAGAAACAGAGCTTGATTTGGAGTTAAACATCTTAATCCAGGCGTGGTCCTCACTGAGGCTGCCAGAGGACAGTCGAATGTTATGGCCTGGCAGAGAGAGGGAGGAGAGGATGCTGAGAGGGATGAAGTGTAAAGTGAAGAAAGAGAGAGTTAGAAAATACACTAAAAAAAGGGACACAATGAAGAAAAGAAAAGGAAGTTACAGCAGATTAGTAACAGAGGCAATCAGTGTGGCATTGTAAGACGGATGTTTGAATGAACTGAAGGGACGAGAGCTGGGATAGAGGAGAGTGATGGGAACATTCCACTTTCAATCAATAGCTTCTCTGCTGAGTCAATACATGCCTCAGTAAATGAAAGTTCATGGCCATCTCTGATCATTTGTCTAATGACACAAAAAGCCAGGAGAGAGCTATCAGCTGACAGCCAGGAGAGAGAGGACGGCTAAAGCACTATGGTTGCTACCTCTTTATTGCTGTGCAGACAAGCAAAGTCCATTGTAACTTTTTCACCTTACTACACTGGTACCTCTATAAACCTAAAGGAGTGGATTCCAGACCAATTATTGTTGCTGCACTAGTATCCACAACTTATATCACTAAGCAAGCATTAAACATCAAAGGGCCTTCCAATTCAGCACAATAACATTAATTAATGGTACGTAATAGAGCAAATTATAAAAAAACGATATTAAATAGACATAAAAAAATAGTTTGAATTCCATATATTCAATAAGGCTAGGTTCACATATGTGCGGGTGGTGCGGCTGCGGATCCACACGAAAATCCATGCAGCCAAACCACCAGCACAGAGGAATGCAGACCCGCGGGCAGGTGCCATTAGTTCTAATGGTACACCACACGCAGTGGAAAACGCAACCATACTGGGAACCAAGGTTCCCGTGTGGTCTGTGCTTTCAGAAGTGCAGGGACTTCTTCCTTGCATGTCACAGGGCACGGGAGTCCATTCAAATGAATGGGCTCTTGTGCCCGCGCAAAACAAGGCCCGCACGGAGGCATATATGTGAACCTGGGGTTAAAACTAGCTTACTGCATATTGTGAAGTGTTTTCTATCCATAATATAACAAACCACCATGTTCCATTACACCCTGTTCCAAATTATTATGCAAATTCTATTTAATGCAGGCCATAGATGGGTCGGAAATCAACCGATTTTTGGGCCGATTTTCGCGGCAATGATGGGCAAATTGGCCGATCTTTTTACCGATAAAAAAATCTGCACATGAGAGAAGAAGAAGAAGAGGAAGAGGAAGAAGAAGAGAAAGAAGAATTCCAGTCCGCTATTATATTTGACATGAAGAAGTATTGCGGTTGCAACAATGTATCTATTTGTATCCGAAAAAAACATCTGTATCTGAAATGGATACAAATAGATACAACCGCAATACTTTTTCATGTCAAATATAATAGCGGGGCTCTCTGCAGGGACAGAAGTAATTAAATGCCGGCCGTAGACAGGAAGAAAATCAGCCGATTTTTTTTTACTGTTGGTTGTAACGTCGGCCTATGGAACGACCAGTTTTTCGATTTTTCGTTTTTTTTTGTTAAAAAACCGTCCGGTTTTCTCCCCATCTATGGCCTGCATAAGTGTCACAAAGATTAAATATTTTGTTTTTCAGTTTAACTCATGGATGGCATTGTGTGTCAGGGCTCTTTTGATCACTGAAAACAATCTCGGACACCTGTGATATTTAAATTGGCACGTGAGCCCAATTTAAGCAAAAACTACTAAAGGACAGTGTTCCACATTATTAGGCAGAGCACCATTTGCAAGCAATATGGGGAAGAAAAAGGATCTCTCTGCTGCCGAAAAGAGTGAAATAGTTCAATGCCTTGGATGTGGTATGAAAACATTCGATATTTCACGAAAACGTAAGCGTGATCATCGCACTATTAAGAGATTTGTGGCTGATTCAGAGCACAGACGGGTTCATGCAGATAAAGGCACATTGAGGAAGATTTCTGCCAAATCCACGCATCGGATCAAGAGAGCAGCTGCTAAAATACCATTACATAGCAGCAAACAGATATTTGAAGCTGCTGGTGCCTCTGGAGTCCCACGGACATCAATGTGTAGAGTCCTCCAGAGTCTTGCAACTGTGCATAAACCTTCTATTCGGCCACCAATAACCAATGCTCACAAGCAGAAATGGCTGCATTGGGCAGAAAAATACATGAAGACTAATTTTCAAACAGTCCTGTTCACTGATGAGTGCCGTGCAACCCTGGATGGTCTAGATGGATAGAGTAGTGGATGGTTGGTGGACGGGCACCCTGTTCCAACAAGGCTGCGATGTCAGCAAGGCGGTGGTGGAGTTATGTTCTGGGCCGGAATCATGGGAACAGAGCTGGTCGGCCCCTTTAGGGTCCCCGAAGGTGTAAAGATGACCTCTGCAAAGTATGTGGAGTTTATGACTGACCACTTTCTTCCCTGGTACAGAAGTAAGAACTATGCTTTCTGTAATAAAATCATCTTCATGCATGACAATGCGCCATCGCATGCTGCAAAGAATACCTCTGCATCAATGGCTGCTATGGGGATAAAAGGAGAGAAAGTCATGGTGTGGCCTCCATCCTCCCCTGACCTCAATCCTATTGAGAACCTTTGGAGCATCCTCAAGCAAAAGATCTATGAGGGTGGGAGGCAGTTTACATCCAAACAGCAGCTCTGGGAGGCTATTCTGACATCTTGCAAACAAATTCAAGCAGAAACTGTCCAAAAACTCACAAGTTCAATGGATGCAAGACTTGTGAAGCTGCTATCAAATAAGGGGTCCTATGTTACAATGTAACGTGACCTCTTAAAATGTTTAAAAAGTTAAAATGTCGTTAAAAGTTTGATTGAAATAGCTTTTGATTTCAGTAAATATGCTGCAAACACAACAAATGACAATTTTCAGTTCTTTACAACCTATAAAGTGTTTTGAAACTTACTGTGCGCAATAATTTGGAACAGTGCATTGTAAGTGTTTTATGTTTAACAAAAATACTGTTATCATTAGGAGGTTTGTTCAATAAAATTCAAATTGTACTCTTAATAGTTGATAACATGAGAATTATGCTGACTGTTATTTATATCAATTATTTAGGTAAATGAGAAAAATATAATTTGCATAATAATTTGGAACAGGGTGTACATATATGGTGGCGCACTGGCTAAGTGATTAGTACTTCTGCCTAGGGTCACTGATTTAAATCCCAACCATGACACTACTTGCTTGGAGTTTGCACGTTCTCCCTGTGCCTGCGTGGGTTACCTCTGGGTAATCACTGGTCCACCCACGTTCCAAAGACATGCTGGTAGTTTAATTGGCTCCTGTCTAAATTGGCCCCAGTATGCGTATTTATGAATGTGTGTTAGAGACCTTAGATTGCAAACTCCTTGAGGGTTAGGGACTGATGTGAATGTACAATATACAGTCATAGCCAAAATATTGGCACCCCTGCATTTCTGTCAGATAATGCACCACTTCACCCAGAAAACTGTTGCAATTACAAAAGTTAAGGCATTCTCAATTTTGATTCTTTTGTTTGTTTTGGTATGGCACAAAAAAGAGGAGAAACAAAAAGCCAAATCTGCCACATTCCACACAAAACGCCAAAAAAAGACTGGACAAAATTATTGGCACCTTCTTAAAATTGTACAAAATAATTGCATTCCAAATTGTGATGCTCCGGTAATTTGTAATTAAACTCACCTGTATCATTTAACAGGTGCTGACAATATAGAAATCACACCAGCAACCAGTTAAAATGGTGAAAAATTGACTCAACCTTTCTGTTGTGTGTCTGTGTGTGCCACATGGAGCATGAAGAAGAGAAAGAGCAGCAAAGAATTGTCTTGAGGATTTGAGAACAAAAATTGTGAAAAAGCATGAACAATCTCAAAGTTACATCTCCAGAGCTCATCTCCAGAGTCCATCTCCAGAGATCTTAATGTTCCTGTGACCACTGTGTGCAACAT